GCAAGCAGTTGTTTGTTCATTGCTTTTCCAGACCATACAATGGCCACTTTATGGTGTTTTTTCCTGGTTTTAGACTTCAATATCCTCTGGCAGAGCAGAAATCTTTTAGCTTGCCCTTAATTAAGCACATAGAGCACTAATAAAAATCAAAATGAGCATGCATCCTGTATGCAAGCAAGCCAAGCCAGAATTCCTGCACTTACTGACTCAGCTTGCACCATTCCACCAGGATTTTTCAGAGGACCTTCCTAGAACAGGTGAGGAACAACACAGCATTCCAGGCTGGAGCAGGAGAGTGTGAGGAAGCCCAAGGGCTGACAGGAAACACTCCCTAGAGGTGCTTTGAGCAGGGCAGAGCTCATGCACAGATCCACCCAGCCCTGAGCAAGCCCAGCAACCAGTGCTGCCAGGGGGCAGTTTGGCTGCTCAGCAGTGATTGATTCCACACACCAACCTACAGAGAAGACTCTGAGGGGGAAAATGCACCACGAGAAACAGGGTCTAAAGGAACTCCACCTGCTTCCTGCACCAACTACTCCTGAGGACAACTTCAGTGTGCCAAATCAAAGAACCCCTTTCAGCAGTGGAGAGCCCTCACATCCAGGAAAGCCACAGCACTCCTGGAACTGAACAGTGAGGGAGTTCCCCGGTTCTGTTCCATCAGCAAACGCTGTCAGAGCTGTGTGACAGAGGCAAGGCAGGCAGTGGCAGCACTGCTCAAACCACTTCTGGAAACCTCCTCAAGAACTCCCAGCTTTCTGGCTTACCTGGTAGAAAATAAATGAGGGGAGGAGATGGATATGGGAGAGAAAGAATGGGAATAATGAAAGTACTTGAAACTAGTCAAGTAGTTTCCTCTTCAACCACGAGAGAGACAGTTTTTCCTTACAAAAAAAAAGCTTCTTTTCTGCCACAGACTTGATGGCTGGTTTTCCTTCACAGCTCAAGAGACTGTTCCAACCACTAATTGCTTCTGGTGAGGAAAAAGAAATATTTATTCCACAAGTATGGCTCTCTGCCTTTAAAATGCAGGGAGGTCAGAGTGCTGTGGAGCTTTCAGATTGTTTACTATCAATAACAGAAGGCAGAAGCAGACAGCCACGCACATACCCAAGGCAGCTCGGAACAGGAGCTCCAGAAATGGAAACAGCCTGGTTGTCATGGCAGCAGAGCATGATACCTGAGCTAATTACTCAGGCTGAGAGGCAGAGCTAATTAGCCCAGATGCAGCATCACCCTGACACAGTTATGATCCTTCTGGGACCTGCACACGTGTACTGCTGAGCAGACATTTCGGTTTGCTCACAGACCTCGGCGTTCCACTCTCTGCTTTACAGAAGTGTTCACAGAAAGAAGGAAAAAAATATGTTCCTACAAAGAAGAAAGCAATGGAAGAGAGCTCACAAAAAAACCCCCAGAAAACTCTGAACACTGACCTGCAACTCTTGTGCAAGGGAGGAGGATGCCTGTGTCCACAGTGCTGCACCACACCACAACACTCAGGACGGCAAGCTCAGGAGTATGGACACACCTCCACCCCCAGCCCAGGGGCAGGTCCTTGAAAAATCCCTTTCTCATTATGACAAGCTAAAATCAAAAAGTTCCCTCTTATCTAATAATGCAGACACCCAAAATAAGCTCCTGACTTAGAAATAAGAAGCTAAATACAACACCATCTGCTTTAGATTGTGAATCCTGTGGAAAATAAATACCTACTACCAACAGACAAACCTGGGGTTTTTCAAGGACTGGAAACAGCATTTACTTGCTGTTTTTACAGGAAGAAAATGTATTTTAAAACTAACTTTGTCATCTTTCTGCGGTACTATCTGATACAAGATCCTCCTAGAAGCAGCAGCACATTTCAAAAGGGTTGGAAACAAAAACTAAACAGGTGAGTGTGTCAGTCCTTCTTAACCATTTTTCTGCCACAGAAATCCAACGTAACCTGATGCAGAAGACTACACAGACGAGCTGGGAAAGGCAGGGATTTTTGTTTGTATTCTTGGAGAAAAAAACCAGCAAGATAAAGAAAAATCCCGTAAGAAACTATTTCCCCTCTTCATAATCAAAATCAGCAACAAACAGACTGAGCGGGCAAAGCAGAGGAAGGATGGCCTGGACAGGGACTCCCACGCAGAGCTGGTTATTGAACTGAGATGCTCTGGCAGTTCAATAAAGGACACCTCTCATTTATACCAAGTGACTCCCTGCAAACCCAGGAAGAGCACTGGAGTCATGCTGGAGTGTTTTAATGGACATTAATGTACGGCCCAGAACACGTTACACGGGACGGAACTGAGGAAACAGGTACTCAGGAGAGCTAACCAAGGACAGACATGCTCCAACATTTGGTGTACATTTATTCCATTTTAAGTTGCACAGATCTTTTAAGTTCACCTGCAAAAGTCATTTATTTAATAGTTTTTTTGTATTAACAATTTACACAACATGCCTGCTCACTCATATTTACAAGAGATCACTTCTCACTTCAGGAACATCTCTAAGCAGAGCTGGAGGATGCCAAGAGGTTCATTCAAGCATCTGTGCTGCCCAAGAGAATGGGATAAATACATAGAAATCAATGTTTCTCTGAGCAGAAAGGTATTTTTGTCAGGGTCAATACTGTTGCTAAATAAAACAGTTTGGTGCCTCAACGATTTCTAATCTAAGGCAAAAAATAGGCACACACTCTTCACCTGCTTAAAACTTCTGGAAGACACGTCCAGCTAAGTGAACTTTATATACATTTAGACACCCAATAATTCTAAGCACTGTTCAAATGCTAGATTTATAAACTTAGCATCACCTTCCTAGTTTCCTGAGGCACCTCCTCCCAAGCTAGCTGTGCTCCTCCCTTCAATTAACAAGCACAAAGTGAGGTATATTATCAGCTAGCAGGGGAAAGAAGGCTGGAGAATGAGACAGTGTTAGTGAGCCAAACTGAAAAGAAGAAAATGAAGGAATATTATGGAAGATAAAGCAGCTGTTTTAATTCACAAGGGCCTGTTATTTATCAGAAATAGAAACGAGCCAGGATGTCAACAAAGTCTTTTAAGGGAAATAAAAATGTCATAATAGAGCCTATAATCTTCCCATGACAAAGGACCTTGGTCTTTCTCCCAAAATACAGAACATCTGTGTGTTTCTGTACCTCATTTCCATTAAGGAAAGCTTCACATGCACTTTCCCCTAAGTGGACTATCAATAAAAGCCACTCTCTTCTGATAAGCTTTTATTTATTCTAGAAAACAGGCATGTTACTGGAAACTGGAAAGAACTGCATTGTTTGCCAGGAGTTTAGCCCTGTCCTACAGCTGTTACTGTAGCCACTGCAAAAATTCCACCACATGACTAAATCTCCCAAACACACTCTAAGTTCAGGGGAGAAGTCATTTTTGCTTCCTTTCTCCAGCCCCTGCTCTTTGGGACCAGAAGGCCACTGGTGGAAGCTCAGCAGAGATATCCCTGAGGGGACAAAGCAGAGGACTGAAAACAGACAGAAAGTCACCACTAAAATGAAAAAAGCCAAGAAAGTCAATGCCATCAGCCACTCTGCTGCTGCCTCAGCCAGTAACAGAAAGCTTTTCTGGGAAGCCCAGGGCTCACAGTGGGCATTCAGCCTGCACCAGGCACTAACAAGAGCTTTAAAACACAGGAATCCTAGCAGAGTGCTGCCTTCTCTAACGAGGAGAAAGAAGGGAAGTATAAATTAGAGAGCAGCAGGGGAATGAAGATATTTATGACATGCCTTCACCAAAAGCTTGCATCAACAAGAATAAAAACATATGGCCAAAGATGCCTTTGGATTAATGCTGCCCAAATTCTTACAAAGAAGCTTCTGGTTTGGTTTTTTTCATATACACCTCTAGGAGAGAGCTAAAAAAAGCAAACAGAACACAACTACTTTCACATGAGCTGCCAAACAGGGCTGACAAATGTTTCAGGGACTGGGTGTGAACAGCACAGACACTGACACAGGCTGGGAACTGAAATTCCAACCTTCAGCCCTTCCACAGAATGCTTCCAGAGCTCCAGGCTTTCCTACCATCCACAGAATAAGTTTATTGCCTTCAGCTAGGAAAAAGGGCTGCTGATCCTCCTGATGGTTCCTATTTCTTTTCTCTGATGCTTTTAACTGTACTTGGGACTTCACCTTATACTTAAGAAGGAAGAAAAGGGATTTCTACCCAGATCATTTGGTGCCTACAGGTATATTCCCATATCAGTTACAAAATGAAGAAAAGAAGTTCTGAATTGTGGTTATTTTCAACTCTACTCAGAGCACATTCCAGAAAGCATCAGGAAACAGTAAATAGTTTGGGTGCTACAGAGAGAGAAGAGCTCTGTCTTTGTCTCTTTTCAAGGCTGAGTTAACTGAAAAAAGACAACACATGAAAAATTCATTAGAAGGCAGTGTGGCAACAGAACACAGAGAGTGCTGCAGCCTGGCAATGGAGCTGCTCAAAGAGGGACAAAAGGCAGGGCACTCGCTGCTGACTTGAGAAAGTATCACAGGGGAAGAAATAGGACTGGTGCTTCATCCACAGGAAATCTTTCTTGTTAATCCAAGGCAACTGAAGCTTGACTCCTTCCTCTTCAGATTAAAGAAACTATCATTTTCCTAGAACAGAAGAAAAAATAACAAAGTTAAGGTATAGCTACACCTACTGACTTCTGTAATGTAACAAATGGGGCAGAAAGAGGAAGGGGAAGCAAAGCTATGCCTACCTGGAGTACCAGAGCTTCTGCCTCCTGTAGCTGACGAGTGTCTCTGTGGGGACTTTACACTTTGGGATGATGACAGCAAAGTGAGAAAGAGTAGCCCCTGACAAACAAGCTTTAAACACAGTCATTGTGGAATGCAGACAATATTTCACATCAGCCATGCACAGAGTACCAGCAATGTGAGTGTCTCCCACACCTCTCCCACACTGCACTAACACACGTTTGTACAATGGCAGGTTTATTCCACACAACTTGTTTCCCACGTTCTGTACCTCGACATCCTGAACACTGGATAAAGAAGTTGATTAAATCCAGAAGTGCTATGTCCCTGTCTTGTTTATATGATTCAATCCAGTCGTCCACCACAGACTGTCAAGAAAAAAAGAACACTTATCAGAGACTCTTACAAAGTGCTTTATTAAAGGCAAATGACTTATGGTTTTCAGAATATCATTTTATAGCTGCATAATTATACATGAATACAAATTCAGAAATCTATGCACCTTCTCTCAGGGTGGAGACAGAACAAATATTGTCAGAGAGCATCATTTTCTGGTATTGTAATTGTATAAACACAAGTTCAAATTGAAATTTCTGTAATTCCTCAGAATTCTACTTGAGAGTACTTTTTCAGTTTCAAAATTGTGTTGAAAAAGACCCAAACACTGTTACTCCATCCAAAATGGCCAACACATATTCCCAGAAAACCGGTGAGTAGAAACCTTTGGGATAATTACTGATTTTACATTGCACAGTGAACACCTCAGTACTCCTAAAGGCCAAGGCAGTGCATCAGTCACTCAGAAACACTGTACATGGGTCAGGAAGACAAAATGCAATGAGGAATACTGGGTAAATAACATAATACACACAATTTGGAGGTGGACTCTCTGGGAATCAGCAAGTCAGCTGGATCACAGTTAATGAAGCTGAGCCCCTGTTTCAAAGTGCCCTCAGAACTACAGGTAGCCTGGTGATATTTTTATAATCCCTGATATTCCAAGCTCCTCAGCTACAAAAACATTGTAGGTAAGAAATTAATTTTTTTTAAAAAATCACACACATCACTACCCCCATGCCCACAAAACCAGCTCCCACCATGCTGACAGAGAATGAACAGCAAAGATAAAATCCAAACAATTCTATCTCTTAGAAAAATGTGCCTTTTTCTTAGCTAAGCTCTAAGGATAGGATTTCAAAAAATCTCTCTGCAGTTTCCAGCTCATCCAAGAGCAAACTCCCCCACCCAGCAGTGGGAGCTGGGCAGGTGTTTGAGGCAAAGGAAGCAGCAAAGCAGCTGTTTGTGCACTAGAGACACCCCCCCTCTGAGCTGAGCCAAACAGCCCATGTTTAACAGAGACCACTGTGCTGCCCCTAAACCAGGCTCACACTGGCACTAGGACCCCACTCTGCTGCCCTTAAACCAGGCTCACACTGGCACTGTGACCCCACTGTGCTGCCCCTAAACCAGGCTCACACTGGCACTGTGACCCCACTGTGCTGCCCCTAAACCAGGCTCACACTGGCACTATGACCCCACTGTGCTGCCCCTAAACCAGGCTCACACTGGCACTGTGACCATGGCATTCAACAGATCTGAACACTCCACTGGAAAGGAATTTTGTGCAGGTTTTGTCTCCCAGCACACACACACCCCCCAGGAGGAGAAGCAACCTTACAAAGGGGTCCCTCTGCTACTTAGAAGAAATCAAAAAGCAAATCTTGGCCTCAAATTAAGCTTTGCCACCCTGTTATTTCATCATGGATTCAGGCCTGTTCCTGTAAGTATCCATCACTTCCATCAATCCCCACAGTTCTCCAGGGCACACAAAACCAAATGTAGCCAAATGTAAAAATTATTTACTAAACCAAATATTGACAGAGCTTAATGACCAGACTGTTGGTGTGCTACCAATGTGCAAGATTTGTTTGAGCAGCTCTGTTACTGTAGATACTGGAACAACATGCAATTGCCAGCAGGTATTTTTTACACTAAAGAAAAGAGCAGCTGGGCTGGCTCAGCCCACAGGCTCACCTGCCCACGGGGGTTATACCCAGAGGGGAAAGCATAAGAAAAGGGCAAGAACCAACTGCTATTTCTGAGTGACTCTCCCAGACCCTCAAGACCCCAGTGTATTTGTTCCCTCATGAACGTGCCTGTCTAACCCAGAGAGCTGTATACCCACATCATCTTGAAGCAATGTGCCAGGGTTAATTACTCACTGCAAAATAAAAGAATGACGGTGTTTTAAACTTGCCAATTGTCAGATCTATTTGATGCAACCGAATGCTTTTACTTAAAAGAGTAAGAGAAAACAAATCCCAAGCCCCTGTTTGTATTTCCCATGCTTCTGTCTGGTCACCCTTTTTCAGGGAGAACAGTCCTACTCTGTGCCCTGTGGCTTGCACAGAAATACTTCCCTGTCTTTATCTTTGCCCACTCTAGTCACACATCTCTTACCAGTTTCTGAAGTCTACTATATTCTTCTTTGAGCCTGCTTTTCCTGAGTGTCCCCAGCACCTGTGCACTGTCCAGAGCCTGGTTTCACATTAAACACTTCCTGTGGAAGCAAAGCTGACCCAAGAAATTCCTTCCCACACTGCCTTACTCCTGTTTGTTGCTACAGCAGGTGGCCCCTTCAGCTACAGCACTGCAACTGTTTCTGACTGTGCTACAAATACTGCCAGTGAACCCACCCAGACCGGAAAAAGGGGAGCGGAGGGGAGACGTCTGGAGATGAGTATCTTTCAATTTTGTTTCTGTTTCTTTTAAATAATTATTTCATTGATTTTTGCAGCACTACCTCAAAACTGTAGCATCAGTGCAGCTCATCTCCCTTCTGCTATTTCTGTCTCTCAACCAGAAGGATCATGTGGGACACACTGTGCCCTTGGGCACTGTCCTACCTAGTGTGGCACTTGCATTTTCAACCCAGAACCACAATGCAATTTAGAGAAAAATAAAGACAAGCAGCTCCTCTCCAGGCTCAGGGACCAGGCCTGAGGCAATGCAAAGTCCTCAGTGGCAGCAGTAGATAAGAAAAGCAGAAAAATCAGACTTAAGGCTCTGAGCACAGATAACAGACAAAGACTGTCTGGACCTAGAACTGACAAAGCTTTAACTAAAATTGGAATGTTTGGGTAGATCCATTTGCCCTAACTTGACATGCACAAGCTCCTCAGTCCCTTTGCACTGGAGATCACATGTAGATGTGAGCACACACCCCCGTGTACAACAACATCCAGTGGAGCTGTCGGTGTAAGAGCCCTCTGGAGCAGGGGGTGCTGAGCCGAGGTGGTTCCTGCTGGAAAACCCTCGGGGTTGCCCTGAGCAGACCCCAGTGACTGTCCGAGGAGCTCAGGTGACAAGTCCCACACAGGCACCTGCCCTGGCAATCAGCACAGAGCCAACAAACTGCCTCCCTAACCCCCCAAAATCAGTGCCTCAACATAACCCCCCCAGTCCCACAGCACTCAGCCCCTCATGCACACTTGGCACACTTGCTGGTTCATTTTGTCAGAGATTACAGTTTAAGGCAACAGGAGATAATGAAGCCAGACTACATATGCTCCAACAGTTGGAACTTAATCAAACTGTTGACTTTCGATGTAACAGAAAAGAGCTATAAAAACTGAAAACACTAGGATAAAAAATAAAAATGATACACGCTGGACCTAAAATAGACACAAGTATCAACTGCAGCAAGACAAAACAGCACTAACCCAAATACCAGGCAAAAAGGTTGAATATGAGCAAACTAGAAATCAAAGAACAGGCAGTCATGTAGCAAATGGTGCAACACGCAGTCCGTGCCAGAAATGGAATTGTTTTGCATAAACGTGTATAGAGAGAGAAGGACTCCTATTAAAGACAAGGATTTCTAACCAACAGCTCCCAGGTTACAGCAAACCATCCACAATGGTTTTATCTTGTTAGCCACCTCCACCCAGTCTCCTGTTTTCAAGAGCTTTTCACCAGTAGCCAAGAGCAAACCCTGTTTGGTGACCTTGCCCAGAGATACCCTGCCCTGGCCCCTCCACTCCCCTGCCCCAAACACAGCCGGATGCTGAGTGAAGACACACGTGGTGCCAGGGGCAGGGAAGGGCCAGGCAGCCCCTTGGACAGGAGGGAGGTGCAGGCAGGCCCCATCCCCACAGGAGCCGTGCTGCCCACTCCCCCAGGGCACCGAGGAACAGATGGCAGGAGCTGCTCCGCTGGTACCCGGCTGCTCCCAGAGGTTCTTGCCCTCGGCTGCAGCAGAGGGCATGGATTTGCCATATGGAAATGTGAACCCACATGCTGGGCATGAAACAGCTGAGAAATTCAGCATTCCTGCAGCACAGGACCCCCAGCACACGTGCTGCAGCAGCCTGCCCAGGGGCAGAGATCCAGGCAGTTGGGATTCACCAAATTCCAAGCAGGTGCACAGGGAAAAGGCTCCTTGAAGATAAGCTCAGTTACAGATTATTCCAGTAACACCAGCGACCCTCTTCCACTCCCTGCTGTCAGAAAACATCTAGACCTACACCCACACACAATTCTATACATATATATATATACACACATACAGATGCACCACATCTCTGGGTCAGTCAACAAGTCCATACAAGTACTTGTTACAAAAATAAGACTCTTAACCTTTTTTTTTTGAGGCTGAAAATGCTTCTCTTCTTAGAACTGAGTAAAAAAATCAAGGTTCCCTGCAAATGGCAGATGATGTATGGTACAAACACCTAGTCAGTACAAAGATTTTCCAAAGCCTGTGACAGTGTCCAAGAGTCTCACAGGAACAAACTCTCTGGTGAGTCTGTTTTAAGAACTAAAAGATAATTTTAACTTTAATTTGAAGAATATGTCAAACAAGCAACCCTACAGAAGTAAGAAGCTTAAAGAAAGTCACATAAGTAGCAGAATAGATCCAGAGTGTGAGTAAGCAACTTCAAATCAATCAACTTGCAGAAATATTGACCTTCACATCTCAAAGGCTGCTAAAAGATAAACAGGAAAATTTTATAGTCCTGAAGAGCCAGAGCAGCTCGGATTGCCAGTAAAAGCAAGTCTGCTGTAATGAATGAAATAATGAAGTAGTTATCTTATTACCTCCTGGAGGCTCTGCAGCTCTGAATCCAGCTCCTATTCCTTCAGTGCAGGAGCATTACCACACTTGGGAGCATTAAGTGCTGGAGGAACCAGGGGGACTAACTGCAGAGGATACCTTGCCAGCTCGAGGAAATTAGCACAGTCCCACTCAATATTAATGAAAGTTGATTTCAAAAAAGCTACTTCCCAATTTAAATGAGGTAACAATCTGGCAGCAGTGCTACTAACACAAGTGAAAACAAATGACACCATATACAGAGTGCATGTT